AAGACAGATAAACAAACTGACAGAAATAATTACCTGTTAACCTTAACTACAAAGAAAGAAACGACATATAATTCCCTTTAACAGACAGACTTATAGACAGACTAGACGGGGGAGGTAGACGGAAAGTGGAATGAGTGAGGGAAGATTATAATATCGCTAACATACTTGGAGTGAGAGGGGGGAGGGGGAATGAGGCGAAAGGGGGAATGAGGCGAAAAGGGGGGAAGAGGCGAAAGTGGGGGAATGAGGCGATAGGGGGGGATATATTTTCACTTAGAGTAGACGAGAAGAAAAACAAAACAAGAAAATCCGGGTCACCTGCAAGAATTAATTATATTTACATACCTCAAGGTAATCTTCAACATAGGGGAGGAGGGGGGAGAGGTAGGAGAGAGGAGGAGAAATTTTCAATAAATTTTTAATATATTTTTAGTATTTATTTTAGGGTTAATTTTATTTTTGTTTAATCCATGCTAAAGCTGAAAGAGAAATTCATCTGTGATTTAGATTTTTTTTTGCTGTTTTTTCTGGGGGTTTTTTTTTAATGTACAGGGTGATCGAAAAAGAATATTCACCCAGATTTTAACACACAACCAATTTAAAATCTGGTGTATTCTTTTTGGATGATCCTGTATGTAGAGTATATATTAAAAAAAAACGAAGGGTGAATTAGATAAACAATGCATATACAATTTTTTTTTATTCTACAGGGGGAGGTGATGAATTAAATTAATCAAGGTGTTGAGTAAATTAATTAAGAGAACAGCAGAGTACCTTATCAGCAGTGGTAGTTGTGCCTTAAAGAAAAACAGACAAACGAACAGAAACATTTCACCAACAACTAACAAACAAGAATTATTTACCGACAGTTATAGAATAGCTGATTAAGTGCTTATGAAAAATGAATCGTGGGGAAAATATAGAATAAAGGGTAATAGAAGGAACTAGATAAGAAAGACGAGACGAGCAAATAAATATAAAGTTTAAATCCAAAAAGTGTTTAGTGCAAATACCAAAAAAAAAATTAAATATTGCAGTAGAAGAAATGATGTTTAAGAGACACAGTAAGCAGAAGAGAGAATTAGCGACAGCAGGCAATTACGAGTTATAGATATAATCAGCAGTCAAGATTATTATACACTTTTGTACAGTAATTATATCAAATAATAAATTAATTAGATCAATTCTGCCTATCATACTTTTATTCATGCTAGTTAGAAGCAATAAGCATCAAAGCCTTATTAACTATCTATCTATACCATTAAATTAAAAAGAAGCTCATTTGATAGAATTATTAAGTTGACAAAACACTTCAAAGTCAACCACATTAGTTAACACCTTGACCATCGTACATTAACCCTGAAAAAAAATAAGTTATGGTGCTGGAAGGGTTAAGGTATATATATATATATATAGTCAAAGGGTTAAGTCATCGTACTCAAGGGGTCAAAAACCTTCGGTGGATGAGTGAGGTGTTTCCTGGTGTGGGTTACTACAACTGCTAAATATAGATGTATTTTCAACAATGTTTTACACACCTGATGATTTATTATTCGTAAATATGGAATAATTATGGGATTTTAGATTATTAGTTATAAATATTTGGCAATGTTTTTAGTCAGGTTGGTCATCAATAAACTATAAAGGTAATTTGTATATCATTAAGATTACGTGATTAGTGAGTTCTGGTTGTAAGTATATAAAAATAAATATGTAATAATAATAATAATAATAATAATAATAATAATAATAATAATAATAATAATAATAATAATAATAATAATAATAATAATAATAATAATAATAATTCAGCCATTAAAACAAATTTAGACATTATTTATTTTTTGAATTATTTTTTCGGGTCTGTGCCTCTCTCTCTCTCTCTCTCTGCTCGTTCAAGGGTTTTCATGGTTGTCGGAGGGATTGGCTGAATATTCAAGAGGAAACAAAGGAATTTCTGGATTTTCTCCGGATTTATGGCCTCAGTAGGATTATATAGGGATTTAACTATGAAATAAAATATCTAGTTATTTCTCTATCATATCAAATCCTAAGTTTAACGCCAAACTAGAGTATTCAAGTGGATTTATTTTTTTTTTGGTGTTAATCCTGAATGCTACTGTAGTTCTGAGGGGGGGAGGATGGGGGGTTGTTTTTAGGTTAATACTGAAGGTGATAATAGCCACTACAAGAGTGTGAGGCTCTAAAGGTTTAATACGGTTGGGTCTGGTGTGAATGCTAATACCAGCCTCTGTGTTAAGTGGTAAAGGGAACAGTGCGTTAAGTTTAAAACACCATCGAGATTTCTTTACTAACTTTTGCATTAACTAGATTTTTTGTTAATTTTATTTTACCTTTTAGGATTTCTACATTAAGATGAGATTTTTTATTTATCATAGAAAATTATTTATGTCCTATGATAAACAAAACTTATTGAAGGTATTATTTTTACCGGGAGTTGTTATATTTGAGAGTTAAATGGCTTTTAATCTCTTTTATTTATTTCTTCTTCCTTCTCCTCCGTTTCTCTTATTCCCCTTCCTCCTCCTCTTCCTCCTATTTCTACATATCCCCTTCCACTCTCTCTAGTAACCGGGAGTAACACAGGAAACACCTCCACCGCCATACTCTCAATGTTTACATCTGTGAAGCCAAAACAAAACAGAAGGGGTGAGTGTAAGCAGAGGGTGTGGCGCCTACATCACTCTCCACACCTGCGGTCACCTGTACAAGGGGTATTAAGGTAAGGACTTTGGATAGGTATATTTTTCGGTGTATATATGAGGATAAGCATCAAGGATATATAGTCTATCCTTCATATAAATAAAGATAGGAAGGTAAACACTCTTTCCTTAATATATATGAAGACAAGAACCTGCATATATTCTTCCCTTCATATATATATACATACACAGGTTAGGTATTAAGGATATATCCCACCATGCAATATATATACCCAACAAGGTGAGGGAGCCACGAGAGACGACTGTGTCAGGATAGTTGGTCTGGACAGATTAGGGACGTGAAACAAGATGACGTCACTACACTTGACTCCTGTGTAGATGGGAGTTAGGAGGTAAGACTCGTTTACAATGTTTTTCCCCGTGTGTGTGTGTGTGTGTGTGTGTGTGTGTGTGTGTGTGTGTGTGTGTGTGTGTGTGTGTTTGGTCTTGTAACGTAATGAGATGGGATTATATGTTTCTATCCTCAGTGAAAACAAAAATAATAACTTGTTTTAATAAATTTCACGAATCACATGTTAAATCTTGTCTAATTTACTCTATTATACTTAAGATAATTATAATCACTTCAATATCCTGTTGAATTTGAGCAACTTAACATGATTTAGATTTAAAGGTGAAAATAAAGGCTTCTCTTACCATATATCCTGTTAATTACTGTCATTATAAATTATAAGTATTCTATCCTGTTATATATCACTTAATACTAACATGATATGACTTCTTCTATATCCTGTCAATTATATCTCGTTTTATATAAAGTACATGTAAATCACGCCAGAATCATCACGTGAGCAGGATAGGAACCCAAATTTTTCTAACAGGTAAATTATTATCTTGCTATCCTACCGTCCGTGTCTGATCAACATATTGTGGTTAAACTTCACCTTCCTTAATGAGCTGTTCCTTCCATCTCTCGCCTCTCATGATACAAGTTTTGCCATAAGTGAGTTTTATTCAGTTTTCTTCTAAGTTTCTGCGATTCAGGATATATGATGAGATTTGTTCTCCTACCTCGTGGAATGAAGTAATTTTTGCCTTCGTCTTCTTTCCCGGGTGAAAAAAAAATATGTTGGTATGTTTCTTTTTTGACGCGGGAATGTTAGTGGTTTTTTTTTATGATAGGTTAGAATAAATTAATTGTTTCTTGTTATATACAGTGTTGGTTGCTTTCACCTCTGACGGGAATATAAGAATGTTATAGTGAAGATTTTTTTTTATTAAGACTGACTGACATGAAAGCTTCCACCAGAGACACTAAAACCCACTGGCTGAGTAAATAGTTTGTTTCTTCCGCTTTATATAAGAACAGAAAATTTGGGGGATTACGAAATTTTAGCCTCGTTAACTTTCGAAATAAATCGCTTCCATTTGTTCGCCATTTTATATTGAAATATCAGGATTAAAATTAGTATCTGGCGATGACACCAAAGGCTTTAAATAAATATATTGTTTTCCTTTCTGTTACTGATAAAAGAATTAATGGATAGCTACATTTTTACTAATTAATTAATTAATAGGGCGTTCCTCCCTGTGACTCACCACACACACACCACACACACACACACACACACACACACACACACACACACACACACACACACACACACACATACACACACACACACACACACTCACACACATACACACACACACACACACACACACACACACACACACACACACACACACACACACACACACACACACACACACACATTTGCAACGTGTGGGGAGAGAGGGTCTGTGATGGGAAAATAGGATAGACCAAAAAATGAGAGCCAGGTAGTGGAGGACCAGAGTGGAGAGGCCAGGTGGGCAGGCCAGGTAGTGGAGGGCCAGGTGGAGAGAGCCAGGTGGAGGCCAGGTGAAGGAGGCCAGGTGGAGAGCCAGGTGAAGGAGAGGGCCCAGGTGGAATAGGGTCAGGCGGAGGAGAGCCAGGTGAAGGAGCCAGGTGGAGGAGGGCCAGGTGGAGGGGAGAGCCAGGTAAAGGAAAGAGGCCAGGTGGAATAGGGTCAAGCGGAGAGCCAGGTGAAGGGAGGCAGGTGAAGAGAGGGAGCCAGGTGGAGAGCCAGGTGAAGGAGAGCCAGGTGGAATAAGGAGTCAGGTGGAGGAGAGCCAGGTGAGAAGAGCCAGGTGGAGGGCCAGGTGGAGAGGAGGCCAGGTGGAACCAAGGTCAGGTGGAGGAGAGCCAGGTGAAGGAGAGCCAGGTGAAGGATGGCCAGGTGGAATAGGGCCAGGTGGAGGAGGGCCACTTACCTGTTGTTGAGCCAGCAGTAGATCATAGGATTGTACATAGAGTTGGACATGGCCAGCCAGTATATGGCCAGGTAGGTCTCCTGGATGTAGTCGGTGTGAGCTATCTCCGGCATCTGAGGTAATAAGGGAGGTAGTTTTAGTAGTAGTAGTAGTAGTAGTAGTAGTAGTAGTAGTAGTAGTAGTAGTAGTAGTAGTAGTTGTAGTAGTAGTAGTAGTAGTAGTAGTAGTAGTAGTAGTAGTAGTTGTAGTAGTAGTAGTTGTAGTAGTAGTAGTAGTAGTAGTAGGTGTCCACGAGGAGAATGAGAGACAGCCGCCTCAGTGGAATGGCATGTCGATGGAAAATGCAGGCGTATGGGTCAAAGAAACCTACTCAGAAATTGTCAAGTGGTCGCCCGCTAACTTATTTGAACCACCCAAGTGTGCGGCCACCAAAGAAATGATTCGGGAGATGACTCACTTCATGACTGATTACACTCAGGACCGCTTCCTCGCCCCCCTAGCTCTTCAAATACTGGCAATAATACCACATCTATTTTGTCAGAGGACACACACAAAGGCTAAGCACAAAGAAAATGTGGCAGCAATGAAGAGAAGGTTGACAATGTGGCAGACTGAGGCCCTAGATGATCTCCTATGTGAAGCAAGAACACTGCAGGAGAGACTAAAATCTACGGGTGACGGAAAGCAAAACACCGATGACGTGGCAAGAAAATTTGGAAACAAAATGCGTGTGGGAAAAGTGTCTCTCGCGGTAAGATCTCTCACACATGAATCCTCCGGTGGAGTGATGCCAATAAACAGAGCGACATTAAAACTATTGAAAGAGAAACATCCCCCTGCAAGCGAAGATGAAGGCATCAGGCTCCAGGGTGCTTATATCTCACCAAACGCTGTCCTGTTCGAGAAAATAACAGGAGAGATGGTGTGGAAAAAGGCACTGAAGACTCGAGGCGGAGCCGGCCCTTCAGGTCTGGATGCAAACGGTTGGAGAGTCATCCTCAGCACAAACAAGTTTGGCCCTGTAGCAAGCGATCTCTGCACTGCCATTGCCACCCTTGCAAGAAAGCTTGCATCCTCTTGCTGCCATCACCTCCAGGCTCTGACGGCCTGCCGCCTTATTCCTCTGGAAAAGAAACCAGGATGTAGACCTATAGGGGTGGGGGAAGTGCTGAGGCGGATCATCGGGAAGTGTATAATGGAGGTGGTAAAGGATGATGTCAGGGCAGCAGCAGGGAACCTACAAGTGTGTGCTGGCCACCAGGCTGGTGGGGAGGCGGCCATTCACGCCATGAGATTGATATTTGAGCAGCGTGATTGTGAGGCCATTCTCCTGGTGGATGCTTCAAACGCATTCAACATACTTAACCGCAAGGCTGCACTGCACAACATCAAGATCAAGTGTCCTAGCTTTGCGATGTATGTTGAAAATTCGTATAGGAATCCTTCAGACCTCTACATAGTAAACAACAAGGCTCTACGAGGTGATACCATCCTACAGTCGACCGAGGGAACAACACAGGGGGACCCCGTTGCAATGGCAATGTATGTAATAGGCCTATCAGTGCTCCAACAAGAAATAAAGTATGAAACAACTGGGGTCAAACAAATGGCATATGCTGATGACCTCACAGGAGCAGGAAAAGTGGAGGACATCAAAAAGTGGTGGGACCTGGTAACATCGCGAGGTCCACATATAGGGTACCACCCTAACGCCAGCAAATCCTTCCTCATCGTGAAGCCAGATCATTATGATCGGGCTGTGGAGGTTTTCGGCGAAAGTGAGGTTAAAATAACTAAGGACGGCCAAAGACATCTTGGCGCAGTAATTGGAACTACGGACTTCAAGACCCAATACGTAGGGGGAAAAGTGAATGAGTGGGTTAGCGAAATCCATGCTCTATCGGAGATTGCTAACACAGAGCCACATGCGGCCTTTGCAGCATTCACACATGGAGTCAAGCATCGTTGGAACTACCTGATGCGTACCATCCCTGAGATCCGACCCCTCCTCCACCCTTTGGAAGAAGCAATCAGTGTCAAGTTCATTCCCAAACTAGTGAGCTTTGACTTAGCAGTAGAAAGATCGCCTTCTTGCCTTCCCTGCAAACTGGGAGAAGGAGGATGGGACCGCTAATCAGAGATTGCTGACTCTGAACATCAAAATTACTTAAGCTCACGACTGGCCTCTACTGACCATAATAGCCCAGAATACAACAGGGAAGGACACCAGCGAAGTTAATAGATCCGTAGATCCATTACAAGATCGGCAGCTGCCAAAATGACATGTTATGACAACTGTACCGTTTCCCAGAAAAATTTGACAAAAAAAAGTAGCTGCCGGGAGGTGGAAGCGCCTCGAACTGGTTGCAACTACGTTACCGATAAAAAACAAAATGGTTTCAGCGCCAACAAACGAAATTTGAATGCCATTGCTCTAAGGTACGGTTGGCCAGTGATAGATGGTTTCTCCCATTATTCCTGATGTGATCATATGGTTTACACAGAAAGGGGCTTCATATGCATGAGGGCAGCGGCAGGTAAGGGATACCAGCAAATATGTTGAAGGAAACCTGCCGGGACGTCGTAGTGACAGAAGCCCTCCTTCCACTGGATGGCAGATCCTCCAACACCAGGGCAAACATCTAACGAAGCCGATGTGGACGTCGTGATGCTCGAGGATTCTGGACCTTGAGGGACGAGGCCTTCTTCGACATCAGGATTTTTACGATCCATGGCCGTTTGTCACGCCCTAGCTCTCTCGATGCTGCATAGGAAGGGCAGAACGTGAAGAGAGGGCATATGGGGGAGAGAATTCAAATATCGATCAAGGGCAGCTTCCTCCTTA